CCCCAAAACCCCAAAACCCCAAAACCCCAAAACCCCATACTGTCTTGAATGATTGAAATTATGCTTGTCTCCTTCTTTTCTGCTTAAGCTTTTTTCTTTGTGCCACAAGTTTTTTGAATTGGTAAGTAAAGCCAGCAAAATAGGCTATTACAAATCCACCGAAGTAGAAGTCATCAAGGGTGACTTCTTCTCCATCTTCAGTTGTTCCTAGTTCTCTGGGGAACAGGATTGGGAGTTTGAGAGTAATCCCAGCTAATTCTACTCCAATGTTGATACTGAAGCCATCACTTCCGTAACCGAAACCAAAGAGGAAGTTAATGTTCTTCATTCTAGAATTCTGCACTTGCATTCTATTGCTTCTCATATTTTTGAAAAGTCTTTGGAAAATGAACATGTTGATGCAAATATCTGATGAAATTCCTAGAGTGGGGTAGTGGCCTGCTGAGCCAACATTCAGCTCAAGGTTAGTCCCAAGATATTCACTAATATGGTTCCTTACCCGAAGAGTTCCAGTAGTTATATGCTTCTTGATCTTAGTCTCTACTTCAATTATGGTCTGCTTGGAGCTATCTTCGAGAACATTCATTGTGTTCAATGCTGAGATTCTGAGCTCATCATGGAGACCTCTCATGAAGGTCATCTCCATCGAGAACTCTTCACTCAGCTGCTCTCTAACAGTGAGAGATACTTCATGATGTGGATCATCAGGGTCTTGGTAGACCCTATTAATCTTTCACTTCACTGAAGTTGAGTTTCTCAAGTTATACTGAGCATAAGTATTGACGGAGTGGAGGGAGCCAAACATCCCTCCAATGGAATATTTAAGCCTTCTGTTATAATTATGAGTAAGCTGGCTGACACCTCCAAAGATGGAAGTCATGTTCTTAGTTGCGGTAAATCCTCCTAGTCTGAGGCATGTCTGTGCATCATTGAGGTAAATGGAGGTGTTAGCCTTTTGAAAGGTATCGTGGGTCAACTTCATTCCTTCCTCTTCGACACCTATGAGAGTTGAGTACTGGAAATAACAATTGTCAGGGTAAATTCAGCTCCAGATATCAGCATCTGTAATGTAATTTTCACGGAATCTTTGGTGATTTATGATATCTTTGTTCAACTGTACAACGTCTGTTCCTGTAGGAGACTGCAGTTTCATGAGGGTATTGTGAGCCTGTGCCTGACGATTTGGAACCATTATGCGTATCTCTCCAGTATCTTGGACATCTATGTTTACTCTTTCGTTCATGTTGTTAATGGATGAAAATAATTATAACTTTTCCTCAATCTTAGATGGCTAAATCGGGGTTTTGGGGTTTTGGGGTTTTGGGGTTTTGGGG